CTAGCAGAGCATTGTGTTGTGCTCCTTTATGGGGAGCATTTGTGCCTCGTTACTCCGCGGATTCTCGGGTTATTCACCGTCGGAATTGGTACGTCATCGACGTGAATACCCAGCTGCAGTCTGACCTCCTTCGTTCAGGTGCTGAAATGGGTAGCTGAGGATTTTGTTGGGTAGAGGGTTAGGCATCTAGGCAGTAAAGAAGCGAGAAAGCTCGGAGAGGTAACCGTTTACTTTCGAACACAGGTCATCAATTCCATTCCCAGACGGAATTATCGAGCAATCATCAGCGTAAGAGACAATCGAGACTCCCTCTAGTGGTTTAGGGGGCTTACAAATATAGAAGTTGAACACTAATGGGGAAAGGACACCCCCTGTTTTATTTTCACTTTACGGAAATCATGCTGATGTTTCGCTGGGGTCAGGTAGTTCGTATAATATGCGAGTAGCAATGTATAGTGTATTCGCTACCGGGGAAAGGAGGGTGATCGAACGATAGGTTCTCCTCTGTTGGCTGTTGTTGGCTGTTTGTGCACCCTTCAGGTCACTCTCCGTTTCGCTTTGTCCGCCAGAGGATGCAGCGTGAATTGTCGGCTAAAATAGCTCGCGCATCGCTCCAAATCGGACGAAGCGCGGTGACCGAAAGAGATTTCGACTCTGTTGTCGCGCTTCGTCGGGCCAGAGGTGAAGTTGCAAGTATCCTGATTCACCCGCAGTGTTGCCAGATTTTTTTCAAAACCTATAACTTTCCTAAAATAAAACTGTATTTTCGACCTTCAAAAACAGAGATTTAAAGATTTATAAGTATTTGTATTAAAGAAAAAAAGTCCACATAGTTATAAAAACTGTTTATAGAGCGGCTATTTTTGAAAACTATCGCTAAATTATATTATTTTCATTTGTTTTTTGTTATTTTATGGCCTTATAACAATTATATTCAATAATTTTTATTGCGCTCGAGGCTGTTTTTACCACAATAAGTTTTTCATTAATTTCAATTGAAAACCTGAAAGGTCTGGATTTCCTAATTAGTCTGCTGAAAAGTTAAAAGAAGCAGCCTTTGTACCAACAAAATTCTAAATAACCTTTTATTTCCTTCCTTTATTGTGTTCTCCCAACCAAATGGTACTGAAAGTATTAAGAATACCTACAAAAAATTTTCTCAAAAATTGCAACATGAAATTGAGGAAAATAACTCCAAACTATTAATTTTACACGTTTTTGACAGTCTAAGTACTGGCCAAATGCAAACAGCATTTTAAAAGTTTTGAATTAAAAAAAAAAAGATAGATATTAAATATTAAGTAAAATGCATACACTTTTCTCCAAAAAATTCAAAAAAGTACTTACTATTTTCTTTAAATTCTACATTTTTGTTAAATTTTTAGGTGCATATGGTTGTTGAAAAATAGCTAAAAAAAAACTCGCAGACAACAAAATTTTACCCTTTGCTTAGCAGTTATTGTTCGTTTTTTTTCCAAAAACAAAAGACACCGTTATTTAATTTGATTTTTTCCTTTATAAAATATCAAGTACAAAAAGTTTATTTTTGTAAGTATGTAAATGAGGGTAGTCCAAAAATACATGTGGGAAAAAGTAAAGTCGGAATTTTACTGCTCTCACACCCTAGGATTGTTCTATATCGAAAAAAGTTATACCCTTATTTTTTATTTTGAAATCGAAAAATATTTAGAGGTCGCTCAAAACGCTCAATTTTCCATGTATTTTATATGGGGAAAAACCTCTTTTTCGTAGAAATGGTAAAGAATTCGTGCAAATTAATATTTTTCGATCGGATAAATCTGTTTCTCTTCAGCGGATGCCCAATAATAATACCCAACTATTTATTTAACCATATTTTCATAATAACTATAATTTATAAGTCCGCCAAAACCCCGAAAAATGCAAATGAGGGGACCAATTAAAATTGCTAGTATTAAAAATTGGTTAAATAACCAATTGGGTATTACTGTGGAAAGTCTCCTGACGAGAACCTGAGTTTTTCGATCGAAGAATATTGATTTTCAAGAATTTTCTACCATTTCTACGAAAAGTTGTTTTCTTCCCGTTTAGAGCGACCTCTAAATATTTTTTGATTCCAAAATAAAAAATAAGGGTTTTATATCTTGTTTCGATATAGAACAATCCTAGGGTGTGAGAGCATTAAAATTCCGACTTTACTCTTTTTGGACCACCCTAGTGTACATAGTTTTTGCCAAAAAAAACTTATCANATTTTCTACCATTTCTACGAAAAGTTGTTTTCTTCCCGTTTTAAGCGACCTCTAAATATTTTTTGATTCCAAAATAAAACTTAAGGGTTTTATATTTTGTTTCGATATAGAACAATCCTAGGGTGTGAGAGCATTAAAATTCCCACTTTACTTTTTGGACCACCCTAGTGTACATAGTTTTTGCCAAAAAAAACTTATCAAATCACCTATAGTGCCTTTATACAAACCTTAAGTCTAAGTTAAAATTCACTTTTTATGCATGTAACCAACTATTCCTCCTCATCTCACGCCAACGTTAGCTTCACACCACAAACGCCTCGTTCGCACGCGCCAATGAGATCAAGAGGTCAAAAATCTAAATACTTATGAACAGTAATTTATACTATAAGGGCGTTCTAGAAAAAAAAAGTAGTATTCTCAACAGTGTTACAGTTCCCAAAGAAAAAAGAAATTACCGTAGGCGATCTTGTTAAATGCTTTACATAGCTGCCAGTTGGCGGTTAAGGCACAAGATCAGCGTCATCATCAAACAAACGAGCGGCAATGCTGCTAGCTGCCAACTGGACAAAGTGCCACCACAAAAAAAAAATTATAAAAAATAAAAAACTCTTAAACGCTTTTTAGACTCAACGGCGGCTTGGACAGTTTTGTATCCATAAGAATGGCCAGCAGCCGTAGCTTCCACGCCGTGACCAAAACTGCATACATACGCCAACGGCCAATTGCTTATCAGAGCTATCATGTCCACACAGCGAACACGGTAATGTACATTTTAACAAATTAGAGATAATCGTTGCGCAAATGAGCTAAGCGGATCGTGATAACTTTGTGACGACGATGCGCAACAGTCAAAGCCGTGAAAAGGCAATGGGAACGCCGGCATATGTCGTTTGAGACTCTCTCTCTGCCGTAGTGATGACGACGACGGTGATGATGCACTCGCGCATATTGCGCGCAAAGCGTTACACACCGCAGTTGTACAACTCAACCAGCTGAGCAGCAATTCAATCAAATTTAATCAAGTGTGTAATTTTTTCTTGCAACTTTTACACTTTAATCTTGAAACGTAGAAGAATTGAGCGATCATCAAAGCGATCAAAGCTGAGCCGTTTGACCAATGTGACTTATGTAACAATGGAGCACGATTTCTATTATATGAGTATTAGCTGATAAATGCCTAGATTTTCATGTGTAATAATCATTAAGGTATTGATTACAAATAATCTATGTGATTTTGTTCTTATCGGGAAACTCATCAAGCATGGAATAGAAGCCGTGAAGGTCAGCTGGTGGAAAAGTTCAATTATCAATGGAATTAGAAAGTAGAAATAATAATGAAGTAAAAATTTATAGAATTGTAGCTCATTAAAAAAAAATTTTATGGGAATTTTCTTGGAATACAAAAACCAATACTTAAAAACTTAAGCTTAAGCTGAAACTTAAAGAATTTGAACTTTCTGCTTTCATTAGATACTGTTAACCTTATGAAATTAGATTTTTTTCTATCACTTCCATTTACTCACCCGACAAATACCCTCTACACACNATAGCTCATTAAAAAAAATTGTATGGGAATTTTCTTGGAATACAAAAACCAATACTAAAAAACTTAAGCTTAAGCTGAAACTTAAAGAATTTGAACTTTCTGCTTTCATTAGATACTGTTAACCTTATGAAATTAGATTTTTTTTCTATCACTTCCATTTACTCACCCGACAAATACCCTCTACACACACTGCACGCCGCCGATAGTAGTGCGTATAATATACCGCCGGTCGGCCACACGTTGTGCCATCAGTCACCGATTGATTCATGCTCACAAAGATGCCCGAACCGCTGGGGCGACAAAAGAGTTCACACTCATTATGTTCCTTCTCGAAGCCAAGCCAATTGTAGAATTTTTCCTTGTACGGTATCCTATTGAAGGTTGCACATTGCTCATCACGCTGTCGCTTTTTGTTGGCTTTGCACTTCTCATCCTTGCAGTGGCGATAACGTTTTATAATCCCAAAACAGCCAAAGCGACTATTTGTCTCTGGATAGAATTCACGATCAATTGGAGCAGCATCGAGGGAAGTGAGCTTCCTAAGGATTGAAGAAAAAACAGTGTCAGTAAAAAGGAAGACAATTACTCATAGCATTGAGAATAGAGCCAAGTAGGGGAGGTCTAGGGTAAGAGAGTTTTAACCGAATGAGAACAGTAGAAGCACGAATAAGACGTCTAGTGATCAAGTTTACTTCCATATACTGCTATATATCGACTGCTGAGTGGAAGATCGGCCTATCCCGGCAGGCAATTCGAAAACGTCCTATCTCAAAAACTTTCCAAGAATGCCCTATTTCAGAATTTGGTTGAAGAACGCCCTATTTCGGTCGATCTTCCACTCAGCAGTCGATATGTACTTGAACTTACTTTGAATTCTAGAGACCTAACACTACTGCTGAAGTGGCTGGAAAAGCATGAGCCCACTATTAAATCTCTTTCAAACCTGACTTTGACAGAAGTACCGTGCGGTGCTTACGTTTAATAACGAAACTTAATCGAAACTCCAAGATGTACGCAAACTATTTCAGACATTTGATTTTCTTCAAATCCGCGCTCACAAAGCGTATTTCTAATAGAATAAGTGCAAAGCCAAAGTTCTAAATGGAGAAGGAATCCGTTGTTACCACGGGGACGATCCATCGACCGGTCGCTGGTTACCAAAGTGGTCAGAAACTGGCAGCGGTACAAACCCTATAGATGTATTTGGACGCGGTGGGCTCATAGGTAAACTGGCTGTCACCTTCGGTCAGCAGAGCATAACCTGCTGCCTTAGTCAGGCTACCACCGAAGCAGTTCGTTTTTGGGCATCTCTATGGTGTATAAATATCCTGACAAAGTTCTGTTTCGAGACAATCTATCACTCCAATGAGTCACAAGGCAGATAAATGAATAGAGGACCCAAATTAAACCGACGTAAAAGTTTAAGTTGATTGTGTAAAATCAAATCGCTAAAGGGCAATGTTTTGGTTAGAGGTTTATGCCATTAGTCTGTGCGCAGATACTAAATTTCGTAGGAATTATCGTAGTGAGGGGATCGTTATTTTATGTTATAGACAGGTAGCATTGGAGGTCAAATTCTCATTGGTGTTGAAGTGCATAGAGAAGCTGAATTCCCTTGCTGGGGTCAATGCTGTCCAACTAATATGTGTACCAGGGCACAGGGCAGGGAGTCGAAGGAAGTGAGGAAGCCGATCAGTTAGTCAGAATGGCTGCTGCCTTGCCAGCGATAGGTCCTGAACCCTGGCCAATATCACTTTGGTGACTCCGCCAAATAGACATCATCGCACCTCCTCCAGGAGTGTAAAGTCAATTCAGGGAGAAGGGAAAGGAGTAACAGTCCTGTCTGGGTCGTTCAGGTTTCGAAGACCCAACTGTTGTGGTAACGTAGACCTATTGGTCGCAGTGCCTATTTTTGTATATATTTAAATTTATCTTTAGTTAGAGGTAGATTAACTCCCCTCGTTGATGTCTTTCATTGTAGTGACTCACAAAGCTACTTTTCCCTGCTGGATGGATAACCAGCATGCGGGCAAGCCCTACGCTACAGCAGGCATTTCTTCGCCTACGCTTTTAATGGATTAATTTCCCATACTAAACGTCCATACTTAATGACAGATTTACTATTATTTTAAGCGTAAAGTGATTTGTTCTCTTATGAAAACTTGCAAAAGGGAAAAAATCATTTTCACTTAAATTGCTGGTAAAACCGGCAGTAAGTCTTCAATCCCTTTGACTCGCAAGATGAAAAGGTTGAAACCTAACAAAAACTCACAGAAAATACGGTGCTGGAAATCAAAGACGAATTCATTCGAGGAGATCTGAAAAATCTGTAAATTCAGTACCAATTTATGCCAAGAAAAAGTGGGAAACACGAGATCGAATCGTTAAATTAGGCTTTTATTGCAGACATTTTATGATCCACTTACCGCTCAATACATTTCCTCTGCCGAATTTGCACACAGGAATTGCTGCACTTTGTCCATTTTTCCCAGCGACCCCAGACATATGTTGTGCCCACGCGCTTTATTATGGCTATATGTTTTTGACGCGAATGTTTTGTTCTTTCACCTGGCGTATTGTTCTCATTATCATCGTCATCATAGTCCTCATTCTCGTCGTCATAATCTCCATCGATATTTTCATTAGAATTCTCACTTTTTAGGCTTCTCAATGTATTATTTTCTCGGAGAGTGTCGATGATTTCCGTGGCATTGATGGTCGCTGGCGCGAAGATGTTTAAAGTAGTAGAAAGCTCGGTGGCAAAGGAAAAGCTCGCTAGCGTTAGTGAAAGCACTAGTAGGTGTAGTTTGAAACTGTTGAAAAGAAACAAAACCAGTTTTTATATAATAAATTAATTCTTTAAAATATTTTTTACAAAAAACTTTCTACATAATACAAGTGCTTAAAAGGTCTGAATAAAAATGTTTACAACTTTTATGAACCGAACCAAAATAATGAGATTTTTGGAGGTACTTGTATTTTCAATTCGGTCCAGCTCACGGAAGTCTTAAAATTTTTCCGAAATATTTTAAGGGAAGTCTTAAGACATCCATAGTATAATAAATTTTACTAGTGAAACCGGATGGCGCTAAAACGCCAAAATTGAATTTTACTTTTTAAATACGTGAAACTAAAAAAATACTCCAAACGCTTCATCCAAATCCGTCTAGCCGTTTCTAGGTAAAGGGAGGTCTCGCATAGTGTTGGAATGTCAATTTATCAAATACCATATCACCCTACACCGCTTAAAAAGAAAGTTCTAACATCAAAAAAGTACCTTTTTACACATCTACAGGTCCCGTTATTTAATTTGACCTCTCATTTTTGAAATTCGAAATAACGGTGCAGATCTGATGAGCTTCATATATGTATGTATATACATATATATATACATTACTTTTCGAATATATAGCAACCCTTATCAAAAATATTTTCGAACTAAAGTTCTCTTAAAACTCTTGCGTTTGATTCATATTTTAATATTTTATTTAACTTGTGTATAAGTTGAATAAATTCGACTTTTTAAACAGGTGGCAACCATCTTTAAAAGTATAATCAAACTCATATCTTGGTAAATCTCTTTCGTCTGACATTGTGATACAAACATATACATCAATTAACTGACGAATTATGTTGAATTTGATTTTTGAAACACGTGTCAACTCTTCTAAATACAGCTCACAAATAAATCCTTTTAAAACACATTAAGCTAGACACCCAACTTTTTGAAATTCGTTAAACTTATTAAACAATTGTAATTAAACTTTTTCAACAGGTGGCAACCCTCTTTAAAACCCAAATAAAATTCTATATGTTCAAACTAAAGATTTCCTAACACTTGCGTTTGATACCCATATTTTAATATTTGACATAGGTTGTGTAGAAGTTAACTAAATTCGACTCTTAAAACAGGTGGCAACCCTCTTCAAAATATTTTCAACTCCTCCTTAAACACGTTTCGTCTGGCAACCATACGGTGATACACATTTCAATTACCTTAATTCAAATTGAAAGAGTTGATGTCTTTTTAATAACTTTAATTAAATTTTTTAAAAGGGGGCAGCACTTTTCGAAAAAGCAAAATCTTATTGCAAATCTACAGGCCAAGTCCTTTAGTTTGACACCTCATCAACGAACGGTGCAGATCTAATGAACCCGGACAAAAAATCCCATCCGAAGGCCAGACTTTTTTTTTGGTGAGGCATCCTAATGTACATATGTACAGACATGCATATATATATATACAGTGCTAGTGCGCGTTTTTTATTAAAAATAATAAAAATTCAGAGAATTCTACTACACGAAATTCCTCAGGTATCCTCGTGAGATTACCTGACAACATGTCTGTTTTCCCTAATCTTTGCCTCATATTTCGTTGGCTGAAACTTAAGTGAATTGATGGAGGATATAATGGCATTGAGTTCAGACTTTCACTTTTTATCGAGTCTTCAAATGAGTACACATGCACATCGTCGCCACCTTACTAAAGAAAGGCCCTGTCTTACATTTTTGTTTCTTTGCAGAGTATGTAGTCATAAAACTTTATAAAAACTGAAGTTCAGTTGCGATTTTTTTCATGACTCGCTTATATATACACGAGATTTAGAAGTTTTTATCCAGGCGTTGGAAAGGTCTTGCAGAGTCATAAACGATTCGTATGAATAAAAAAGATTTTCCATACGTTTCCAAGGCAGTTAAAAAATGCATATCATTTTCGTCACGAAATTGATATCATAAATTTTGTGTTTCTAGTTCAGCTTTCGTTACTCGAAAATTTTACCTCAAAGAGGTGTTTTATTTGATATTTCATACACAAAATATTTATATTTTTAGTACGATTAAATTAATTATAGTCATTTGGCATTTATTGCTCTAATTACCATATTCTCATTATTTGCTTAAAAGGCGATAAATTCATTACAAGCAATTCACACATTTGAAAGTCAGACCGAAAAACATTTAATGAAAAATTCGCCCAACAATACTTAAATTTATTATTGTTCCTGTGCTCTTTTATTCAATTAATTTTTGTTCTAATCACCTAAATAAAACTATTTGTTCGAATCGCGGAAATTGTTGACAAACTTTTTGTTGTCTAATTTCACAGCGATGATCACATCCCAACCGCTCCCAAATTAATGTTTTTTATTTATTGCATTTTTTTAGCCATGTATGTATGTATGTAGTCTATCTATTTAACTACATATTTGCTAAAGTGTTCATTGTGCTCGTTAGTCANTTCTAATTTCACAGCGATGATCACATCCCAACCGCTCCCAAATTAATGTTTTTTATTTATTGCATTTTTGGTACCCATGTACATATGTATGTATGTAGTATATCTATTTAACTACATATTTGCTAAAGTGTTCATTGTGCTCGTTAGTCAGACGCCGTTCGTTGCACCCCCCTCTCTTCCGCCAGAAATTTGTTTATAACTAGGCGTACCTTTTTTGTGATATCTAAACTATAAACAAATTTCTTTTATCTCTTTATACGATTAATTAGTATTGTTAGTTTTAGATAATTTTCGTTAATTCGAAAACAATGAATCGAAGTTTTTTTTCAATCCTAGCTTTCTAAATTTGGATGATGATTTATTGCGAATATAAATTTGCCAAATATAAATTTAAATAAAATTTGTATGTACTTTTAACAGCCTATATTGCATTGCTGAACAAAACTGCAACACTAAATAGTAGCATTTTTGTTTGTAATGAAAGCGTCTGTTGTGTAACGCCCACCGCAAAAAAATCAACAGAACAAACCTTTTGCATTTTATTCGCGACATTTCTTTGTTGTAAAGATAAAGAGCTTTTAGCACGCAATTTTATAAATAATAACTACAACTTTTTTATATTTTTTTTTTTACTTTAAATTCACACCACTGCTTAGTACGTATGTATGTACATGTGTATGTATGTAAATTTACTTTCAAAATCTTATAAAACAGAAACGTCTTCACTATTGAATACATTGAGGTTAACTGAACGATTTTTTAAAGAACCATTTTTCCAATAGACTAAAAGCTTTTTATCTCGATGCTGTGCCATTTCGGAAAAAAGGGAGATTACATGAATTTCATATTTCTCTAAAATATGACGTGTGTTACATACATATGAAAATGTGTATGTGCGTGCCACGATATACATATGTACATACATGTGTACATAAATATGCATGAAATTATATGCAGCATGATTTGCATATAAAAATAAAGTAGGTACATTAGACTGCATCACTCCCCATACAAAAAAAAAATCGGTACTATTTTTCCATTGGAATTATAAAATCTATTATATTTTAAGACGTCCACCACAATATTTCGAAAAAATATTACGATTTAAGTGAGCTGGACCAATTTCAAAATGCCTCCAAAAATGGAGTTTTTATGAATAAAAATAGTTTCTTACAATTTTTTTTTTTTTGGAAAAATCCCCTCAAATGACAAAACGGTTTAAGCTTAAAAAATTTGCATAAAAATATAAAAAACAAAAAAATTAAAAAAAAAAATTTACGGAATCGTAATGATGAGATTTTTGATGCTGTTTTTTAACTTTCTTCAAAGATTGGTATTAGAAAAACTTGAATAACTGAGCCTAAACTCTTCTTCTTCGGTGGAAAGGTATTTTCTCACCCTTTTTATTTCTTTGCTAATAAACTCATTCAAAGGATGAAAGAGAAAGGTAGGATAAACGAACGTCATTCAAAGTTGAATTAAGATGTGTTGGTATTTGAAAAAAAAAATTGGGAAACGTATGATTTTTTTTTTTTTGACAGAAATAAAAACAGTGTGAAAATGCCTTTCTACTGGGATCCCATAAGTCTAAATCGGAATAGTTTTGGCCCAGTTATTCAAAATTTTCGTGAATCAATATTTGAAAAAAAGTAAAAAAACAGCATCAAAAATCTCATTCTTGCGATTCCGTTGAAAAGATTTTTAAATATTTTTATGCAGATTTTTTAAGTTTAGTCTGTTTTGTCATCAGAAGGGACTTTTTTCAAAAAGTTCTTTACGAAACTATTTTTATTCATAAAAAACTCAATTTTTGGAGGTATTTTCAAATCGGGCCAGCTCACTTAAATCTTAATATTTTTCCCAAATATTTTGGTGGACATCTTAAAATGTAATAAATTTTGTAATCCCGGCGGAAAAACCGCAACTTTTTTTGGTGATGCAGTCTAATGTACATATGTATTCTATTTGAAAATCGGCAGTGATAACCACATTGAATATTTATATCTTCATGATTACCGCAAATGTACGTACATACATACATACATACATACATACATACATACATGCATGCATACATACATACATACATACATACATACATACATACATACATACATACATATTAGAGGGCTGCAAAGTTCCCAGCCAAACTGCACTTCTCACATTCAATAGAAAAATTGGAACATATTTTTGCGGTACCTAAAAAACAAGGAACCAAAAGTAGAGGACGTCCCAAATGAGCGTACCTGAACGAAATTACTCGCGAAGACATTTTTTTTTTAATGTGATCAGGTTTGCATTCGTTCGATTTCCAAAAATGGGGTGG